GCTGTCGCCGCTGCGCACCGAGTCTCGGTCATTGCCGCTGCTGCTGTGGTCCGAGGCGGCGGCCGCGTGCAGCTCGAGCGACGCGCGCAGGCTCCAGATGTCGTGGTAGATGGTCTGGGCTTGCTCCGGCCCCGCCTCCCGCTCACCGTCTGACTCCTGCGGCTGCTGCTGCTCAGGCCCCGCGCTGCCGCCGCTGCGCTCCGGGGGAGACTCGGGGCTCACTCCTCCCGCGGCGCCCGCCTCCTCCGCCGCCTCTAACCTGCAAGCCAGGTGGCAGCGTCAGAAGCCTGTGCGCCCCCGCACCCACTCCCCGGCCACCCGCCTCTGGGTCGGAGAGGGTGGGCACGGGTGGGGACCTTCCGGGCCTGACTACGTCCTGTGAGAAATTTTTGAAAACGCTGCCTGTCTTTTGTGCAGGAGATGCTTTTTGGATAAACCTTGAACTCTCCTGGCACCTGCTTCTCAACCAGGGCGCCTCTCATATGTATCTGACCCAAACATCCACTCGCACTGAAGGTGGCTGGTCCGTGGCCCAGAGTTAACACTCTCTTTGGGAGCCGCCTTCTTTCTAATATCTTAGTGTGGGAGGTGGTGGTCCTGGAAGGACTGCACCAGGTGGAGTCCAGCTCTGCCCCTAACCCTGGGTGACTCTGGGGTAAGCATTTCACTTCCCATCTTGATTGATGAGGATCCAGGAAAATGACACAGAAGGATTAAGTGCTCTGGATCCATCCCCCACCCCAATGACGTCCCCTCCCCAGTGACACTAGCTCACAGCTTTGGGATAGTTGCCCTTGGGCTGGGGGCGGGGGCCTACTCGCAGAAGTAATCACAGTGGTTCCTGAGAAAGGGTGGTCCAGACCTCAGGAGCACGGGCAGTCAGAAGGGGGCCTGGGGCCACAGCAGAGCCTTTCAGGCCTTGAACCACACCAGGAAGCAGCAGTATGCGGGTGGGCACACCCCCCAGTGGCCCTGTCTGGGCAGGCATCCCGTCTTGGGGACCCTGGGGCCATCGTCCGGGGCCCTGCCCGCCTCTCCCCCCTTACCCATCTTCCCCCTGTTTCCCTCCTCCGGTCCATGCTGGAGAGGTGGCCCCAGCCAGGCAGCCTCCGGGAGGAACGAAGCCGCCTGTCCACAGGGCAGGGAGAGCACTCTCTGGGCCACCTAGGGGGGACGGGTCGGGGCAGGGGCCCACAGGTCCACCTCTAGTACCTCTATCTACTGAAAAATACCTGCCGAGAGCGGGGGGCGGGCTGGTGGGGCTGGCCAGAAAGGGGCGGGGGGGTGGGAAGGCCACAGCGTCGCCTGCGCTGGCGATGTATTGGATGAAGTCCCCCAGGGGGGCGTCCCCGTCCTCCTGCTCTGTGCTCTCGCTCGCTGCCCGCTGCCTCTGGAAGTGGTGTCGTTTGGGGGAGCCTGTGCGGGGGAATTCGGGTGAGCCGGCCTGAGCCCCTCCCAGCCCCACCCCAGGGCAGGCCCCAGGTACACATGTGTCCTGCTGTGCGGATGGAGAAACCGAGGCACAGAGAGCAGAGAAGCCAAGGCTACAGTAGCTGCCCTGAGAGGCCCCAGCAGACAGGTGTGGCCAGAGCAAGGCCTTGCCCTGGACACCAAATGGCAGAAGCCAAAAGGTGTGTGGGGGGGGGGACAGGCTCCTGGGGGGCCAGTGAGGTGCAGAGAGGAGGCACTCTCGTGCCAGCTCCGCCCCTGTCGTGGGCCCCCTGGGAGGCCTGGGAGAAGCCTAGGTGGGGAACAGTCACCCCACAAACAGGTTCTGGGTGCTTCTTTGCTTGTGTGTGACGGTAATCATGCTCAGGAATCTCGGCTCCGCAAGGGCTCCCACAGGTGGTGGGACCAGCCTCCCCCTCCCACCCTCCCCCGGGGCCAGGGGCACCCCAGCCAGACCTGACGCCCCTGCTCGCTGGCTGGAGCCAGGCCCCAACAGGGAGGCTTGTGCTGTCACCAGCCACATGCCATCCCTTTCTCTCCAACACTGCTTGTCCCCTCTCCCCGCCTCTCTTGGCCCTGGGACCCGCCACCTCCTCCTCCCCTGAGGCCTGGCCGTGCTGAGCTCCCGTGAGCAGGGGCGTCACAGCTGTCAGTGCCGACCCGTCGGGGCGGCCACCTCCCCACTCCCTACACATGTTCCTGCTGTGGGCTGAGGGTACGGAAGCCCTGTGTCCGAGGTCCCATGTGACTAGGAATCTGCAAGATTGAAGGGCTGCTGTCCTCAGTCCAGGGTGGGCACACAAGGGCTCACAGGCCAAATGGGTCCCCCACCTGTTGTTGTCAATAAAGTTTTATTGGCTCATGGCCCACATTTACACACTGTCTATGGGTGCTTCCGTGCCACCACGGCAGACAGACTGTGTGACCACGCGGCCAGAATGCTTCCATCTGGCGCTTCATAAAACAGTTCACCTGGCCCCGCTCCAGCCTGACAGGCCCCTGCTTTACTGGGCCCCGGCGTGTGGCCCAACCGGATGTGAGACCTTGGGCAAGATGCCCACTGGCCAGCACAGGGCGGGTGCTGGGGCCCCCCCGGGAGCACCGACCCCTCCCCGGGTGCAGAGCCTGTGCCCTCTGGACCTCGCTCCCCACCGGGGGGCCGCCGCTCACCTCTCGTGTCCAGACTGGATGCTCGCTGGCTGGGCTCCAGCTTCCACTTTTTGACCCTGAAGTATGGGCTCGCCCCGTCCAGGCTGGCATGGCGCCGCAGGCGGGTGAAGAACTGCAGGACGGGGCCCGCCCCGGAGCCTGGGCTCGTCTCCCCCGGCCCCGCTGCGGCCCCCGGCCCGCCAGCCTTGGCGCTCTGAGCAGCCGCGTCCAGCTGGGAGGGAAGAGGGGCCTTCTCAGGCACGCAGACCCCTCCCTGCCGCCCCCGGCGCTGGCCCAGCCTGGGCCACAGCTCTGTACCCACGGGAGCAGCTTCAGCCCGGCAGGTGGAGTGCAGAGGGGAAGCAATGGCTTGAGGTGGGTGACAGCTACGCTAAGCCCAGGGGTCTGGACCTCCTCCCCTGAGACCCCCAGAGGCTCAGTCAGGCACCGGCCAGCCCTGCTCTCCCCAGCCCCGGACAGAGGAGATCAGAGGGGATCAGAGAGTGACCATCCAAGTGTGCTTCCCCCCATGGGCTAGGTCCTGCGCGCCCTGTGCATGTGTGAGCACATGCAAACGAGATGGCTACGCAGAAGTCCTCTGTGTTGCCCGCCCCCCTTCCTCCTATGTGGGAGGACCAGACCAGGACAGAAGACCGTGGTGGGCAGGAGGCCCAGGCTGGCCCATCCTGGAGTGGGGTGGTGGGGGGACGCTCTGGGACCTCACCGAGGTGCCTTCCCCAGAGTCACTGGATGCCGAGGGGCTGATCTCAAAGTCGGCAGGGCCGGCAGCCGAGTTGTAGGGATCACCTGGCAGGGCGGAGCTGGGGCCCACGGAGCGGCCGGTGAGGGCCTTCCCCGCGGGCTGTGGGACAGAGCCAGGGTGGGGGAGGAAGCAGTGACAGGTCAAAGAGCACAGGTGGGTGAGGGGGCGTGCGGGGCCCAGCCGCCCTCGGTGCCCACCAGTTGGGCCCCCTCCTTGCCCTGAGATGAGGGGCCCGGCCAGGTGGGGGTGGGGGGGTCCCACCCGCTGAGCCTGGGCCAGCTGCTCCCTACACTCACCTGGAATATGGCGAGGCTAGCCTTGGGAGTGGCCATGGGGTGGGGTGTGGTGGCCGCGCTGGCCTCACCCGAGTCACACTCGTGGATGGTGACGATCTTGAGCGGAGGCAGGTGCAGGTGGGTGAGGCGGGCGTTCTTCAGGTGGTGGAAGTCCCCCTCCGTCAGGGTGTACCTGCAGCCAGCACACCTGCCGTCACCTCGGACAGCCCTGTCCCCCAGCCCACGCTCCGCCGCCCCCTCCATCCCCATGGTGCCAGGTCTTGGGGGAGCAGGCAGGACCAGGCCCCTAGCAGAGGCCAGCCTGCCAGCAAGCTTGGTCTCAAGTCATGCTGGGACTCTGAGTGGCAGTGCCCCCCTGCCCTGCTCACCGGCGGCCCTTGTCATGCGTCTTCCGGCTCTGCTCAAACAGAGCCGCCTCATTGAAGGACACACGGCGGCCGGTGGAGCCGGTGGACAGGAAGCGCTCCGTCTCGGCATCTTGGCCCTCAGGGTCCTCCCCCCTGAAGTCGGGGTCTGTGAGGAGAACCAAGAGAGGGTGGGCCTCGCCCGGCGGGCTGCTGGGTGGGGTGGGTCCGGGAGGGAGCTCTGGCTGATGGACAGACCGCCAGGGAGACTGACTGCTGGGGACGGGAGGGGCGGGGGGGGCGGGCACTCGCTCATCCGCTCACACACTCACTCGCTCGCTCAGCACGCGCCTGTGCGCACCTACGCGTGGGCTTTAAGGAAACAGAGATGAGTCGGAATCGAGCTGCGCCCAGTCTGGTGGGGGAGACAGACAGACACAGACGGTCAGGTGGCCCGAGGGGGGCGGGCGGGCAGCAGAGTGTGGACGGGAGGGCGGGGCCCTGCCAGCGCCTCACCTGGGGTGGGGTGAGCCCCGTTGTCCAGGTAGGTGGTGGTGGTCTTCTCTGCCTCCTCCATGGCTCTGGGGGGGGCAGAGGAGAGCAGGTGGGCGAGAGGACCTGGATAGCACCACCCATGGGGTCCCTGCAGGGCTCATGCCTGGGGGAGCAGAGTCCCAGCTCCCAGGAGCCCACCTGCTCCGACCCGACCCCCCGCACAGACACCCGGCTTGCATACACACATAGACACCCATTGCACTTGCACACGTGTGCACCCCTGCTGCTCCAGGCACACTCTCACGCTCACCCGGCTGGAGCCCCGCCCCCGCAGGCAGGGGGCCCACACACCTGTCCAGGCGCCGGTGCACGGCCCAGCAGCGCCTGCACAGCAGCAGCACGCCCGACAGCACCACGAGCGTGCCCCCCACGAACAGCGACATGACCACCACCAGCAGCACGTAGTTGTCCAGGATGGGGTCAGGCTCCGCCTGCGGGTGGCAGGGTCAGGTCCTCCCCGGGGACTCACGTCGCTCCGCCCCCCCCGCCCTTCCCACCCGCTCCCCCTCCCCGTCACTCACGGTGGGGCGGCTGGTGGCGTTGTCCCAGGTCGTGCTCAGGGCGGCTGTGGCGATGGTGGTGGCGGCTGTGGCCATGGTGGCCGTGGGCTGCATTTCCACGCTAGGAGGAGGGGCCTGGAGAGGCAAGGCCTACTCAGCTCCAGCTCCTCCGCCGCGCGCCCCCTCCGGCCTCCCCGGGTGCGGGAGCCCACCCAGGGCAGTGGCTCACGGGGAGGTGGGGGAGCCCCAAGCAGCCCCCCGCTCAGGTCAGCGCCGAGCGCTGGGGCCTCTCTTTCCCCATCGTTAAACGCGGGAGGTGTGTGCACGTCAACCGCCTCCCCAGCCGGTGGGGCCGGCCCGGCGAGGTAGTGCAGGGCCCAGAGTCCTCCCCAGGACGGGGGAAGCAGCCCCGTCAGGAACGGGGAAACTGAGGCCGTCAGCTCAGTCTCGCGGGGACCCGGGTCATCCCTGCGGCCGTCCCCCGCGGGAGGGGCGGCGGGGCCGAGCGCAGTGGTCCCGGGTCACGACTCCGGGAGGTGAAGGTCCCCCCTCCGCCAAGCGCTAGTGGGAGTGGAGAGGCCAAAAAAGGCGCATCTGTTCCCAGCCCTGAAGAATCCGGTTCCCATGGCGACATAGCGGCGGGCCGAGCTGGGGGGGGGGGGGGGGGGGGGCGGGTTGCCAGGGAGCCGGGGGGAGGCGAAGGGATGGGGGAGGGAGAGCAGGGAAAGGGGAAGGGGAGGCCTCTTGCAGGGCGGCGGGCCGGCCCCGGGCGCAAGATGGCTGCGCCGCCTCCCGCCGGTGCCCGGCGCGGCCAGCTCGCCTGGCCTCCGCGCCTGCCTTCCGCCGGGGACGGAGGCCGGGAGGGGCTGCCGGGACACTGCACCTGAGCGCGTCCCCGAAGCCCAGCTCCTCGCGGCGGGAAGGAGCGGGGGGCGCTCCGGAGTCGCATGGAACAGAGCCCGGGGCCGGGGTGACCAGCAGCCCCGGGTCGGCGCGGCGCGCGCGCGGTCCTTCCCCCGAGAAGAGGAAAAGCCTGTGCACAGGCTCCAGCGTCCCCAACCCTCTCGGGCTTTGACCCCACTCGACAACGGGGGAAACTGAGGCTCAGACAAGTGGGGGCGCTCCTGGCGAAAGCCAAGTGTCCTCAGCGCTCCGGGTCAGAGTCTGGCCGCGGCTCCTCGGGGGGAGGGGGCGCGCATATGTAGGTCGGAAAATGAGTTCAGGCTGGAGAAGGAGGGGGCAGGGACGATGACAGGCGGGCAGGAAAGATGGCAGGAGACCGAGGAGAAAGAGAGGTGGGCTCTTCGGGGGTAGGCGGGGACGGCAGCAGCCGAAGGCGGAGGTTCCCCACGGGCCGGCCTCCGAGGTCCAGCCAGGCCTCGGCTCCCCGAGCGAGCTCGCCACCGCGCCCAACCGCGCGCCCCCAACCGGCCCGGGGGTGGGGATGGCGAGGGAGGAGATGCAGAGAGCCCGCCTCCGGGCGCATCTCAACCTCGGGCGAAGCCAGGAGGCGGAGACGCCATCGCCCTGGCTGGATCTTACAGGGGGAAACTGAGGCCGGGGGAAGTGTGGGCGGGGGTCTCTCGGCCACCGAAGGGGGATGCCGAGCCCCGCAGATGGGCCCCCACACCCGCTCTAGCGCCTGCGCTCCCTCCGTCTGGCTTCTCCGCCTCGCGGGGCAAGGCTGGGGGTCCCGAGCCAGAGCGGGCCCCGGAGCCGACCCCGATCCCCGCCGCG